AAGAAAGCCACATAAGGGCACAAGGCAGAAGGCAGCTAACCAACTTAAAATGGTTTCCCGCCCGAACCGCAAGGGCCAACGGATTTTGCGGTAGGGTCGTTAGGGTAGTTTTCTCAACATGGGGGGGGTAGGGTAGGGTAGGGTAGTTTTCTGAACTTATTTAGGAATTACAAACTGTTGTTCAATAACTGGTCTGAGGTAGATCCCTCCATTCCCCTTCGTTCTTTGCTAGACTTCCCAAACCCCTTCCCCCCATCCCCCAATGCTGTTGTCCCATTGTCATGGCATGGCCTGGAGGCCTATGAAGAATCAGATTCTTGAAGGAGCACTTTGCAAGTAAGAGTTAGGCAGTCCCGTCTGTGTGAGCGGGTAAGAGTACCAGCAGGGGTTACGTGCTGACTACAGAGCGAAGTGTACGAGAATTGCCGTGTCCGTGGGTGTTGTGTGTGGTGTGTGTTGAGTTGGACACTACAGCCTTGCAGGGGTGGGGTGGATANTGGCTGTAGTGGTTAAGAGACTTGGCTCTTGAGGCCGAAGTCGCCAGTTCAAATCTGTGCTTGCACGGAGGAGGACTTATGCCCAGATGTACGGAATCCATACTACTACTGAGCTGGGATGAAAAGAATTTTCATCTGGCGCCCTACTCTGGGTGAAGAGGTTCAAGCCTGAACTCTGTCAGCATTATCAGAATTTTTATTATGAAATGGGACGCTGGACCCGTTTTCCAGCAGGTGCAGCTCCCCACCAATAGATGGAGCGACCAAAGGAAATCATAGTAGGGAGGGATGCTCTTATCACCCTACCTACCATGGTTTCAACGAGTCTTTAAAAAAAGAAAAAAAAAAAGAAAGAAAGGGTAGTTTTCTGAATTTAAAATGGTTTCCCACCCGAACCGAAAGCGTAGGGTAGGGTAGTTTTCTAAACTTAAAATGCTTTCCCGCCCGAACCAAAAGGGTAAGGTAGGGTACTTTTCTCAACTTAAAATGCTTTCCCGCTCAAACCGACAGGGATTTCACGTTAAAGGAAAAATCTACAAAATGACCAAATCTAATATTACGTTATGCTCCTGTATTTCAGTACCATTAGATTCGCAATACATCAACGGCAGAGCTCCGTCTCAGCATGCCACACCTGATAGAAAGAAAGCTCAGCATTGAGGAAACTCAACTTGGCCGGTGGGACTTCATCCCAGAAGTCACTTTTTCCCCGGTGGTGGGGACTCTGGGAGGCGGGGATGAATATTTTTGATGAGGTGATGGTGATTTCAGAGTGTCAGCCCATATTTGTGAAGGGCATGCTGTGGCTACAGTCTTCCCCCGAATACAACGTACGGTCATTACAGCTGTATCTAGACTGAAAGATGCCTCAAATACAGCTATAATGACCGTGCTTTGTATTCGGGGGAAGACTGTAGCACTGGACTGAATGCGACTGTAACTTCGGCTATGTGTGGATGAACGTACCAACAGTGACGTCAAGAGCTTAGTAGTGTAAGTGTGCCAATGTTTTTATTTTCAGTTTTTGCATGAGTCTGGCATTTCGCTTTTCCTATTCTATTCTTTTCTTTGCCTTTTTCGCCGGGGAAGAAGCGAATCTCGAATCAGGGTGTCAGCCCATGGCTGTGAAGGGCATACTCACACCAGCACTTTCCTGGATGTTTCTGGATGCAATTATGGCCAGGCGTGGATGAATTGGACGGCTGGGGTGGCAGACGGGTGAAAAGAGCACCCGCTTCTTCTTTCCAGCTGCTGGCAGTAGGTCCAGCAATGAATCCAAGACAGGCTGGTACTGGTACCAGCCTCAAATTTTCTGTGCGTTGTGTACCGGTCGCTTTCAGGCTCGGCAAAAACTGTAGATTTAGGCTCGTACATTTAGTATCTGGTGTACTGGTCGTTTAAGCCCCTTTAAGCTCCTTTAACCTTGAGACACTTTGAAACACTGTACTAGGGCACTTTGAAACACACTTTGGGACACTTTGATACAGTTTGGGACAGTCTGATACAGTTTGGGGAAAATTTGGGGAACATTTGGGAGGCTTTGGGACACTTTCAAGAGCGTGGGACAGTTTGAAAGACTTTCAGACACCTAGTCTGCTTTGGGACATCCTGACGCATACGCATTGGTTCCTTTGAGACATTTCAAGACACTTTCAGTACCCCCGTAAAACTTTAAGACACTTTGAAACACTTCCACACACTGCGACACACTGATTGAAGACACGTAGAGAGACCAAACCCTTTTTTTTTTCTTTTTTTTTTTTAAATAAACTCCCGTGACATCAGATAGGAGTGATGATAAGAGCATACACTCCTACCTGACTCACCAGGGGCTCCATTCTATTGGTGGGGAGCTGCACCTGCTGGAAAATGGGTCCACCGTCCCTTGAATTACAATGAAAGGATAGTGGTACAGCAAGGATAGTGGCACAGCACATGCTGGGAACCGGCCCCGGCGTCCCACATTTACCGCTACTGATGCTCTGATGTTATAGGTAGGTGATGTTGATGATGAGGATGATGATGATGATGATTGCTGAAAATGATGATAACCGCTGATCTCAGAGCTTTGGGAACTTCCATTGCCACCTGTACCTCTTCACCCTCAATAAAAGGGCGCCAGATAAAACAGTTAAGGACTGGTACTAAATACAGATTGGAGCATGAACTAGCTGGAACTACTTCCTGAGGTTGGGAGAAACTTGTTCATTCCAACCCATCTAACTCTTTTTTTTATTATAGAAAAACACCCCCTCCAGTGTTAGTGCTGCTGATAAGAGCAGTCACCACTAACACCTGGGGAGAGGCTCCATCTATTGGTGGGGAGCGTCACCTGCTGGAAAACGGGTCCAGCGTCCCTTGATACAATTGATAGTATGACTGGAAGACCAAGAGGATAGTGACTGTGTTGCCTGCCAGCATTGATTGCCCTGTACCCCAGGAAATTAACTGAGCAGGCCAACTCTGTAGTATCTCTTCAGTATCTCGTCACCCTCCCAAAGAGGGCGCCAGATAGACCTTCAAGGACTGATACTTTTTTGACTAAGGTTGCCCTTTTCAACAGGCGGCAACTGTCACAGAAGCTGGCTCTACCCATTCGTCATCCAGAGTAGCTTGGGCAGTTGAGAAACCGAAAAAGCATTCTACAAGCCTCACCCGGAGGGCACCGGGGAAGCCTGCGGACAGCTTTTCTTAACATTGTCTTGACATTGTCTTGATCTTATCTTGGCTTGTTGTACCGTTGCTGTGCTGTTGCAGCCTTGGTCAAGCAAGTATTTCTACCAGGGAAAGGGGGTGGGGGGGGAATGGATCTGGGAAGTCAGATGGGGGTCTCAATGGAGAGGTCGGGTCAATATGGGTCCAGTCATTGAAAACCAGTCTATAATCTCTCACAATTCCTTGACTCGTCGTAGCTGCACCGTCCCCTGACCACTCGACTCGTGCCACCCATCCCCCTCGTTCCCCGCCCAGCCAATCCGTACAAAATTCTGTAATCCCTTTCTTAATATCCATGTCTTCCTGAAAAATATCTAGTTGCGGCTTGAGGTCACCCCATCTGCGCATTAGCTCCATCCCATCTAACTCAAAGGGACCAGACTTTGTTTTTTTTTTTGAGGCACCATTCCTATTCACTACCATACCAGCTCATTGGGACCAAGCATAAGGAAGAGGGAGGAAAAAGTTCTGGGAAATCAACTAGAGGGCAAAGGGGGACAGCTGGATCCACTTTTGTCCATTCATGAAAGACCAGGCGATAGTCGCGTTGGATTGCTTCTCCCTGCTCCTCCTTATTTTCTCTCCTGGCCCCATTCCATATGATCTTACCTATCTTATCCCCTTGAGGGCCCCCTAGCCAAGCGCCACTGAATTGTTGAATGTGTTGAATTGAATCTTTTCTTTAACTTTAACCCATTGAACTATGATTATCGTTTGTACCTATTGTTTGATAGATTCTGTAAATTCAGGACCATCCAATCTTTCTTTTTTTTTTTTTTTCTTTTTTTTTAACACTCCCGCCATCTTGCTCCCTCCATTTCAAAAGTACAACGACATTGCTAGAGGGCCCATAGAATTGCTCTTCTACTTGTTATGAATAAGTTATAAGAGAAGTCATCTAATTGGTCATGAGACCAGGTCTCACATAAAAGAGTTATCCAGTCCCAAGGCCAATTCTGTGAACGAGTGAGAGAAGACCATATTCTATTCCACCATCTCCACATCCAGATCTCGCATGGGCATTGTAAGAAAATGTGTTCTATAGTCTCCGGATGGTCTTCGAAGGAAAAGCAGATGAACATAATTTACACCAAGGTAGTGCTATACCTCTCTCCTCTAGAGAGGTCCTATCTATGAGTCAGTCATGGTAGGAAGGCAACGATGGTCAATATGTCATTGTAATGAAGCATTTTTTGACAGCTTGGTCTTTATGGTTTTAACTTTTAAACCATTTGACGCATCTAAGTTGATCTTTGCTTACGTTTAGTTGCTTCATCCACCTAGCTTCCACTCTATCCCATAAGTTCAATCTTGGCCTTATCAAACGATATGTTGATTTAACCGTTAGTGTGTGGATAAAGCGAATACACTTTCTTCCTTTCCCGAGTGGTAGTGTCCATGGGCCTCGTTCGACACTCCTTGGGGCCCGAAATTCCCCAAGGAAATGCTCGTTCCACTCATCCTCGGGGAAGACGCGGATAAGAAAATGTGAAAACATTTCCTCGGGGATTCCTCGGGGCCACAGCCATTTTGGCGATTTCTCCAAGGGACCTCCCGAGGTCCCTCGGAGGTCGAGCTTCCGGAAGAATCGGGGCGTCGACGGCGGCTCCTTCGACGACATTTTTCAATTCCGTCTGGTCCATCGGTGGTCCTGCCTGCGTCTCCACGGACATGATGGGTCGCCAACGTTCGGCTTCACTCCAACGGTTACCGTTTGCGGCCAACCGGCATCCCCGACATCCAGAAGGTGCCGTCTTGCGTCATCGCGTTTGGCAATCCGCGGGAATGTCCCAACAGTCGGCAGATACGAATATTTCAGGCCGGACTCCCGCTCCCAATTACGCACTGGCCGTGAGAGACCGAAGACGTCCTCGGGGTTTTGTTGAGAAGTCTGGACGGCCGTTTGCAGCACTGCGCTCCGCTGTTATGTTGGCGTCCGCGTTGTCTTCCGTTTGCTGCCGTCATCGTCGACTGTTTCATGGCTGACGTGTTCCGCAGGCTGCCGCTGCTGCTCCTCGTTGTCCTGTTGCTGCTCCTCGTGGTTCTCTTCCGCGTGTGCATCCTTGGGAACGTGCCGCCGCGTCGACGCAAAACAAGGTCTTCGATGAAGGACGCCAGGATGGAGGCACGGCAGGCGATCCCCCGGTCCGGTGGGGAGCAGGTCGGAGGGAGGCGGTGCGGGGGGAGCCTGTCGACCGTTGGCAGGGCCTCCCAGCGGGTTGGGTATGATGCATTGCCACCGCACTTGCAACCACTCCCCGGCTCATCGGACGAGGAGGAGGAGGTGGAGAGACGGCCACAAACCGTGTCATTGGGCAGCGCATCAACGCAGGAGTGGACAGCCACGGAGCTATGCGGGACGGGCGGCGGCGTGTACAAGGAGTCGTTCACTGAACTCCTTCGGCCTAGCCTTGGCGAAGACGAAGGAGATGGCCGCGTCAACCTGTCGTTTGGTTTGTCCACCAGGCGGTCTACAACTCCATCACGCACAGTGCTCGTGCGACCCCACCCCGGCGAGGAAGCCGGGCAATTGACAGTTGTTGATCGATCGGCGAGGACGAGGGCGTTGGCGAGTGAGACGGCGGGAGCGAACCGGAACTCGTCGACGGCCCAACCACGGGCGGCCTCTCTGTCCAAGGGCGCCTAGGGTCGGCCGGAGTGGATGCAGTTGCCATCTCCCCTGTCTGTGGCGTCGGAAGTGGCGTGAGGCCGTGGCGTCGGAGTCGACGGCGGGACCGACTTCTTGGATGTTGGTGATGGTCGCGACGGGAGGGAGGTGCGGAGGGACCTGCGACGGGATCACCGGCTGCGGCGAGAGGAATACATCACACGGGGGGGTGGAGCGTCTTCACGTGGGAGACCGGGAGAACGAAAAGGAGACGGACGATCCACCGGCGGAAGCAGACGACGACAATGACGACGACGACGACAACGACGTAGACTGTGGGGAAGGGGGGGATGGTCACGCGTCGCCATCGTTCCAGAGCGACATGGCTGGTAAGGGTGGGAAGTCCAAGCCTTCTGGCCGCAATGCTCGTCCGCGGGCGAAGAAAGGGCAGGGAAAGGGGAGCGGTGGCGAAGGCGACGGTGATGCGGAGGAGAAGCGCAACTTCTGGTCCGTGGAACACATTATAGCCCTCATAAGGGCTAAACGTGACCAAGATGCGCATATGCAGGGGATGGGGCACGCATACACACGGATGAAACCGCGGGAATGGAAATGGCAAGACGTCGCCCAAAGGTTGAAGAACGTCGGCGTGGACAGGAATGCGGAGAAATGCGGGAAGAAGTGGGACAATCTAATGCAGCAGTTCAAGAAAGTCCATCACTTTCAATCACCGTCAGGGGGTGCAGACTTTTTCCAGTTGTCGTCGAAGGAGAGGGCGAGCAAGGGCTTCAATTTCATGATGGATCGCACAGTTTATGACGAGATAGAGGGGTCGACTGGGATGAACCACACCATCCACCCGAAGAACGTGGCAGACACCGGTGCGTCTGGCGGCGTGCGCCCGCCTTCAGCGTCTTACGTGGATCCTGAATCGGTGGCGGACGGGGAAGGAGGTGCAGGGCGAGAAAACGACGAGGAGGGGTCGACGCGAGGCTCTTCGCAGACGACGGGCACCCCCGACGGTTCTGGGAAAAGGAAGAGCACGAGGCAGCAGACTTTCGAGGCGCTGACAGAATGCATGGAGAAACACGGGGAGCTATTGGCGTCGACGATGGAGAGTGCAAGCAAGCGACAATGCTTTATCCAGGTCCGGCAATGCGAGGCGTTGGAAGCGGAGGTGGAAGTGCAAAGGAAGCACTATGCCGCGTCAGACGAAGTCAATAAACTCATGTGCCACGCATTGTTGGAAATAGCGAAGGTCATTCGTGAGCGGCCGAGCAGCTAGGAAGTGTGTTGTACAATTGTGGAGTCCTTTGATGTCGGGGGCGAGTTGTTGGCTGGTTTCCCGTTGCAGTCGTGTTGGTAGGTGCACCGTCGTAGACACGGCGAGGCTTCGTTGGTCGATCCCTGTCCGCTGTTGCGGGTCATGTATGGTAGATCGCCATTCGTGCAATTTAGTGTTGTCGTTGTAAATTACCTGTGGTGCTTACAATCTGGGGACAGATAGTCCCGTCATTGCAAATTTGTAACGTTGGGTGGAACAGTGCGGGAAGCACTTGCCTTTTTTTTGTACTTGATGCTCTCTCTCTCTCTCTCTCTCTCTCTCTCTCTCTCTCTCTCTCTCTCTCTCTCTCTCTCTCTCTCTCTC